ACACACACACACACACACACACACACACACACACACACACACACACACACACACACACACACAGAAGCAGGGGGGAGGGGGGTTTCCTGACAACTTCACTACACACCATCTTTATCACTGGTCACCATCTTCACTGTATCCTCTTATCCAAACACAATCTTCATCACAGTATAAACATATTCACTACACACACACACAACTTTCGACACAAACCATCTATATTAAACCTAACCTTCTTTATCACTGTGAATCATCTTCACTATATATATATATATATATATATATATATATATATATATATATATATATATATATATATATATATATATATATATAAGAGAGGCATCTATTACAAGGCTGGCAACAGCATTTAATCTCAGGTAAGGAAGAAGGATGAGCAGGTCTGCCAGCAGGTCAGACCAGACCAGCATTTAGTAAACACAGCCGAGCCCCCAGTCACCCCCCAGTCAGTACATCCCGGCAGTTAACCAGTCACCTGAACCCACCAGTTTGGCCATTCGAAAAAAACGTCAAGCAGGCAGGCAAGCCGGCAGCAAGCCAGGCAGGCAGGCAGGCAGGCAAGCAGGCAAGCAGCCAGGCAGATCAGACAGACAGTTAGCCAATGGCTGCTGCAACTAGTTACCTATTGTCAAAGTGTGGCAATAACTCGCTCAAGGGTTAAGTTCCCCAGCACGCACAAAGGTGATCTAATTAACCTGAGTCAACTGTTGACCTCTCAAGGCTTCAGTGGAGATTTCTTCAAGCTCCCCCACCTCCTCAGCCTGGATGGGCCTTGTCAAGTTGTTCACTCAGCCACAGCTGACTGGCGTTCCTGCCAGGCAAGCAATGAACTTGAAACACACACACACACACACACACACACACACACACACGCTCCCGCACGCCATAGTTAGCAAATGGAATGCACCAGGAAGTGATGTGGTGGAGGCTCACTCCATACACAGTTTCAAATATAGATATGACAGAGCTTGATAAGCTCCTGAATCTGTACCCCAGTACATTGACGGCGGGACCAAAGAGCCAAAGCTCAACCCCCGCAAGCACAACTAGGTGAGTACTGCTGGAACTCTGAGCAGTAGACAATATGATATCTATAGATAAGTAAGTAGGGAAGTAGCAGAGCCACAGACCAACATCACTGATAAGCAACCCCCCACCCCCCACTTGGGCTGGACGGTAGAGCGACGGTCTCGCTTCATACAGGTCGGCGTTCACTCCCCGAGAAGGTGATCAAATACCAATGTGGGTTCAGGAAGGGGAAGACATGTCTAACAAAGTTAGTAGAGTTCTATTGCAAGTTGACGGAGATAACAGAAGCGAAACCACGCGAAGGATTGAGCAAGTACAACTTCCTAGTGGCTGGAAGATACTATTTTACACAGGAAAGTATTGCTCAATCTTGAGAAATAAGCTACTACTGAACTTTAATCAAAGCAAATGCAATAATTTTATGAACAGAAGAGAGAAAACTCAAAAAGCCAGCAGTCCAGAACGAAGGAGTGGCAACGGAACCAACGCAAAGTAACCGTAAAGTAACCGCAAAGTAAACACAAAGTAACCGCGAAGTAACCGCAAAGTAACCGCAAAGTAAACACAAAGTAACCGCAAAGTAACCGCAAAGTATCTGCAAAGTAACCGCAAAATAACAGCAAGGTAACCGCAAAGTAACCACAAAGTAACCTCAAGGTAACCTCAAGGTAACCTCAAGGTAACCGCAAGGTAACCGCAAGGTAACCGCAAGGTAACCTCAAGGTAACCGCAAGGTAACCGCAAAGTAACCGCCAAGTAACCGCAAGGTATCCGCAAAGTAAGGTGACGAAAAAGTGGGTACAGATACTTGGGAGTAGACAGCAAGCCTCCCAAGACAGACGCCCCAACGTCTTGACGACCTTCGGGGAGCTCGGCAAGCAACCTTCGGAGTACTTTGAGTAACCTTTTGTAAGGAAGACCCTTTACCATGTGCTGGTTCGGGGCTTAGCGTCCCCGCGGCCCGGTCATCACCCAGGTCTCCTTCTTGGGTATGGTGTCTCAAACTGTCTTCTTACAAAGAACGTCGCATTTCGCCCGAAGGCGTTACATACGGCCAAAAATTGATGTACTAGAAAAACTGGAAGCGGCTGGCGAAAGTGAGGTACTCTCCCGTTTTCTGTTTTGGGTCCTCTGGTAGGTTAGGAGAGACCACTCTAAACTGACCCGTTTCCAGTTTACCGTTAAACTGAGCTAGTGTAGTTTCAGAAGCAAACGCGAAAGGCAGTTTTATAAGTAAACATAAGATACACTTGATGACGCTACACAAATTCATGCAGGTCGGCGTTCAATCCCCGCGACCGTCCATAAGTGATTGGGGCACCATTCCTTCCTGTCCCATCCCAAATCCTTATCCTGACCCCTTCCTAAGTACTATATACAGTCACAATAGCTTGACGCTTTCTCCTACATATTTCCCCTTCCCCTTTGCAACATTCACAAAACCTGAATCCTATTTCTGCGCATTACTGCCAAAGCCCACATATTTACCTCTACATATATACTGATCTTTTACATATCCTGAGAAATATGGACGTAGATATTCCCGCCCAAAAAGAAAAAATTTGGTCCCTTTTAGTTTCGTATTCTTTGGTTCACATGTATATGATGCCTGGATGAGCAAACATGTATACGAGCGAATATTTCTGGGTAATCCCCTTTGGGAGCTCTTCTGAGGGGCGCCTTCTTCCATCTTTAAGAGGGATGTAAACTTAGAGACTGTCTCCTCCTGAACAAAACGCAAGTAAAATATTACACACACACACACACACACACACACACACACACACACACACACACACACACACACACACACACACACACACACACACACACACACACTCCCACACACACACACACACACACACACACACACACACACGCATACACACACGCACACACACACACACACACACACACACACACACACACACACACACGGCAAGTTAATTTCTTTCACAGGAGGAAAAATATATATTCCATTTGAGGGAGTATTAAAGGAGATATTGCGACAGAAGACTCTTGTTGGTCCGGGTGCTTTATGCCCGTGTGTGTGTGTGTGTGTGTGTGTGTGTGTGTGTGTGTGTGTGTGTGTGTGTGTGTGTGTGTGTGTGTTCGTTGCAGGAGTCCCTTGAAGGGGCAGAGCTGCAGTTTAGGAAGCGGTGACACAATCATGTGTGTGTGTGGTGACACAACACACACACACACACACACACACACACACACACACACACACACACACACACACACACACACACACACACACACACACACACACACACACACACACACACACACACCTCTAACGACTCGAGAGAGACCTGGGAGTGGACGCAACACCTAATCTAACTCCTGAAGCACACATAAATAGGATATCGACAGCAGCGTCCTCTACCCTAGCAAATGTTAGAACATCATTCAGGAACCTAAATCAGGAGACACTTAGAGCGCTTTACACTGCCTACGTGAGGCTAATCTTAAGAGTATGCCGCCCCATCATGGAGTCCCCACCTGAAGAAACATTTAAAGAAACTGGAAAAGGTTCAGAAGTTTGCGACGACGCTCGTTCCAGAATTGCAAGGGATGAGATATGAAGAGCGCCTGAAAGAACTGAACTTGACTACGCTAGACAAAAAAGGACATAGAAAGAGGCATGATAGAGATGTATAAAATACTTAGAGGGGGAATTAATAGAGTGGAAATAGAGGAACTGTTCACATTGAACACCAAGAGGACATGAGTGGAAGCTTGAACCTCAGATGAGTCGTAGAAATATTATTAAAGTTTTCATTTAGATTAAGAGTAGAGGGAAAACCCGCCAAACAGACACCGACACTACGACGTTGGTACAACGTTCGAACAAGTTTTAACACCTCCTAACCAGTTATAACAATCAATATAGCAAGTTGTAACAACGTTCTAATACGTCATAAACACGTTAAGCCAAGATGTAACAACTTTATTACAAGTTGTAACAAACGGAAAATAGTAACAGTTACGGTTTGTGTTTCCAGAAAATGGAATGAGCTAAAGTAACAGGTTGTGGAAACAAACTCCATTTATAACTTTAAAAGCAAATATGTTAGGGGAAAAGAGGACAGGTGTCATTGCTTTAAACAATTGACATTTAGGAAAAAAAAAACAGGGCTCCAGGAGCTAATATTCGATCCTGCAGGCACAAATAGGCGAGTACACCTTGGTGAGGACACACACAGAACCCCCCCTATACTCTATAGGGGGGGTTCTGTGTGTCCTCACCGGGGTCGCTATACACAATCACTATACAACACTACACAATCAACACTAAACACAATCTCCTCTAACTCTTTCTCCTCCCTTTCTCTTACCCCTTTAAATGACATAGCGCTCGCGGAACGCCAGGCGAGTGTCTTACCACTACACCACGGAGACAAATGTAACGAAATATCGAGTCTCTCTGCACAGAACTCTCTACAGTTCTGGTAGATTGTTCTATCCTGGAAAGAGGTGAACAGGCATCTCTACACACTAAGAATACACCCACTTTGGAACAGACAGCGCTATCCATAATAGTGACCCTCTTCGAAGAAAATGTCTATATTTTCAAGGGGCCAGATTCACGAAGCAGTTAGGTACTTACGAACGTGTACATCTTTTCTCAATCTTTGACGGCTTTGGTTACATTTATTAAACAGTTTGCAAGCATGAAAACTTGTCAATCAACTGTTGTTATTGTTATAAACAGCCTCCTGGTGCTTCGGAGCTCATTAACTTAATAATTGTAAACAAAGCCACCAAAGATTGACAAAAGATGTACAGGTTCGTAAATACTTGCGTAACTGCTTCGTGAATCTGTCTCAAGATCAATTGAAAGAAGACTTCGATGTCCTCAAAGCAATCCAAACTCTCTCTTTAGCACTCACCAACTCTAGGAGTAACCAACTCTAGGACTTATTCATGAAAGATTCACTTACCTCTCAGTGGACTCTTCATGGCGGCCTCGACAAGTCCGGCCAGCAACTGGAGGGACTTGGGATCCTGGGCAAGTCCGCTGCTGAAGGCAGCCAGGGCATCTGCATGGCGCCCCAAGCACTGGAGAGCCACTCCCTGGCGGTAGTACGCCTGGCGGATCAGAGAACACAACATTAGTCATCCAGCTTCGCCTTCCAGAATACAAATATATTTACAAGCTGGTAAGCAAAACAATATGCAACACGGGGGATATCCACAGGTGGGAAAGATAACAGAAGCCGCCAAGGAGGGGGTGACGTACTAGGAGGGTGCACTGGGGTGACTTGCGAGTGTTCTTGCGAGTTCGAAAGGCACTTCGGAGGGTGAGCCAAGTCACCAGAGGGCGTCGCCGGCCGCGGGCAGCGGCGGTGGCGGCATCCTTACTGCCGCTACTACCACGCACCAGCACCATGCCGCCCTCCACCTTGGCACTGCGGTCTTCGGGTGCCACTGCAGGTCCGTCAGAGGGCCGAGTCAACGCATGGCTCTGGCACGTGTATGGACGGTTCCTTCTCTTGTCTCCTTAGCAAGAGAAAAGTGTGTCTCCCAACGGTAGCCTTTCTCTTGTCTGGGTTACCGCTCGGAGCCTCATCCCGTGACGCTAAGGTTAGCGGTTCCGTGATGCTAAAGTTAGCGGTTCAGCGATGGATTTCTTATAAACAAACTTTACACAGGTTTCTCTGTTAAGTACCACATTTATTTTATATATATTTTTATATATACGAGAGTTCTTACATTATTGTAGAGCCGCTAGTACGCGTAGCGTTCCGGGCAAGTCCTTAATCCTAATTTTTCCCCCTGAATACGACCCGCCAAATCGTTTAACAACCAGGTTACTGGTTTACTGTTGGGCGAACAGTAAACGGTTATTTTCCTGTTGGGTGAACAGAGGCTACAGGCGCCAAGTCAATCCTCCCCCGGCCAGGATACGAACCCAGGCTAAAGCACTCGCGAAACGCCAGGCGAGTGTGTTACCACTTCGCCAACGGGACTACTTATATCCACTTATCCACATCCACTTAAATGTTTGACGTCACAGTGACGTCCGCCTCTGACGTCCAAAGTAACATCCAGCTCTAACGTCACAAGCATTTCAGTACCTCAATACTAGTTCAACACGAGTTGCAAAGTAATGTTTTGTTCACCAAAATGTCATCTGCAAAAGCAGTTGAAAGAAATCGAAAGGTGGAAACTCAATACACAAATTGCTAATGTTTCAGAAGAAATTATTGCTGTGGGGATTGCATGGGATTGGGGTGGGGGGGGAGGGATTGGGGGAATAGAAGGAATGGGAGAGGAGAAAGATGAGGAGGAGGAGGAGGGGGATGAGGAGGAGGAGAGGAGAAGAGGGTGTGAAAGGAAAGAGTAGATAGAGGGTAAAAGGAAATAATGTGGGATAAGGGGGAATAGGATTAGAAGAGGTGGGAAAGGGAAGAGGAGGGGAAGTAGTGTGGGAAGGATCTACTCCCTAAATAAAGTCTTATACTCCCACTTAAGAAAAAAAAGGGACATACCCCAGGAAATATAACTCCAGGAATGTTAATGAAGAATCAGCTCCTATTCTCAAGACCAACTCTCAAGACAGCACGAAAGACCGCCTACCACCCCTCACTGCCAGCAGTCCATATACACGTATATACTTAGCTTTCCATTGACCAAATTACAGACCTATTTAATATAATTATATATCTTTTTATATATCAATCACCACCCGGCAATTTCAATCAAAGGGAGAGAGAGAGAATCAACATTAGCCACGCCAGTGACTGATAATCTCTTGAGCTCATTTTTCATACCCAAGGAACCTTCAGAGAGCTGGCCGGAGCTGCCAAGGATATTCCATCATAGCCTGCTGGAACCCCTCCCCCATCTCACCCCCTCCTCCCCATCTTCTTAATCCCAGCGCCCCCCCCCCCTCCCCCTTCATTGCACGACTCCCCCATTCCCATCTCACGGAACAAGCTGCTATGACATAAGAAAAGTCAAGAGTTGTTACAATCGAAGACTGTTCAGTTTTCTTGAATTCTTAAAATGTTATAGTTCGTGTTCTTTATTTGTATGGGGCACTGCTGAGATATTAACTAGCTGCGAAGAGGGAATCTCCAGAGCGCCAGCAACAGCTGTGGAAACAGTGCCAGGAGTGCCAGGAGTGCCAGGAGTGCCAGGAGTGCCAGGAAGCTAGACAAGGGAAGGAGCTGGGTCTCAGAGGCCCCCCCCCCAGAGAGAACAGGGGAAGCCAGCAACATCACATATCCCCTCCCCCCCTTCCCCGGGACGGGGGTGTGGGGTGCCTAGAAACAGTGCCTGCTAATGGGTTGCAAAGGCCTAGTGTCAAGGAGAATGGAACCGCCCACTGGCCAACGGTTCAGGGTTCTTGTCTTTCTTGGAGGCAGAAATGAGTTGAGAGAGAGGAAGAGAGGGAGGGAGTGGGCCCTTGGAGAGACGGAATGGGCCTTTGGAGAGAGGGAATGGGTCCTTGGAGAGAGAGAAAGGTGGAACTCCTCCTCCAAACTCTGATCTTGGATATTTCCTCGGCTGTAATGGTGAATACTCAATCTCTGCCCAGATACCATTGACATATTTTACGATAGTGTATCCTAAAATGTTAAATCAATTCACGTTAATCACAAAGATCTTTGAGAATTAACTATAATCCCCTTTTGGGCACTTAGTATGATGGCATATCACTGCTTTCCCAACCCGCTTGTTTCACTGTCTGATGGAATTAACTGTCAAATCACCCTCCTAGAGACTTATACTACTGGCTGTGTACTATTGAAGGCAGGGGTTAAGGGAGGGCAGGGGTTGAGGGAGGGCAGGGGTTGAGGGAGGGCAGGGGTTGAGGGAGGGCAGGATTTAGGGAGGGGGAGGGTAAGACTGGCATCCGTGTGAGGAACTTGATTAATGTCTGGGAAGTAGAGGCAGGAGACGGAGGCAGGCGGCCGGGTGATGAACTTGAAATGCCGTAGATTAATGGATGGAAATCACCTGCCTCTTGGCAGGTGGCTGTCAAGTGGGAGGGATCCCTTGCCCTCCTGCCTTGCCCTCCTGCCCTACCCTCCGCCTCCTACCCTCCCCTCACCTCTATGTTCTCTCAAGATGGTGCATCTGTTCCCAAACTCCGCCTTTTTAGCTAACGGTAGTTCAATGGCTTGGTTTGTCTTAAATGTTCAACGTTACATATAGCCATTCAAAAGGCTTTGGAACATGCTCTTGTTGAACACCGAGAACATGTTATCATACATACAGATTCGATAACAGCCACTGAAACCTTGCAGCGAGAACACATACGTGATACGATAACGTAGTGGAGGTCGGGTCCCTCGATTGTTTCAAGCGCGGGTTGGACATGTATATGAGTGGGATTGGGCGGTTATAGATAGGAGCTGCCTCGTATGGGCCAATAGGCCTTCTGCAGTTACATTTGTTCTTATGTTCTTATAACTCCCTCTGGTTGATACCTGCTTGATGGGGTTCTGGGAGTTCTTCTACTCCCCAAGCCCGGCCCGAGGCCAGGCTTGACTTGTGAGAGCTTGGTCCACCAGGCTGTTGCTTGGAGCGGCCCGCAGGCCCACATACCCACCACAGCCCGGTTGGTCCGGCACTCCTTGAAGGAAACAATCTAGTTTCCTCTTGAAGAATGTCCACGGTTGTTCCTGTAATCGGCTGGTTTCTTATTTACTTTCATTATCACTTGTTCCTTCAGACATTCTTCTTCCTTATCTGTGCTTCCAGTTTCCAATCTTGTCTTCTAGGACTATTCTTCCTTATTTTCATCAGTTTATATTTTTTCAATTCCTTTAGGATCTTGTATGTCATTATCACTCTGTCAATTCCCCCCTGTTAAGTATTTTATATGTATCTATCATGTCTCCCTCCATTTTTTTTAGCGTCGTAAGGTTTAGTTCTTTCAGTCTTACTTCATATCCCATCCCTTGCAATTCTGGAATGAACGCCGATGCAAACGTTTCATTTTTTTTGTTTTCTTGCGTGTTTTTTTATAAAAGGCTTCACAATGGGGCAGCATACTTTAAAACCTGTCTCACGTAGGTTGTATTCAGCGACCCAAATGCCTCCTTATTCAGGTTCCTGAATGATGTTCGAACTTTTGCTAGGGTAGAGTATGCCGCTGTTGTTGTTGTTGTTGTTGTTATAGATTTAGCTACACAGAACGAAATGTCCATGTAGCACGGTCTATGGTGAGCCCCGTCTAGGTACGTCGCTACTGACGTTATCTTATATATACGAACCTCCGAAGTTAGGTTAGGAGTGACACGTCCACTCTTGGATCTTCTTATATTGAGGTTATCTTGAGATGATTTCGGGGCTTTAGTGTCCCCGCGGCCCGGTCCTCGACCAGGCCTCCACCCCCAGGAAGCAGCCCGTGACAGCTGACTAACACCCAGGTACCTATTTTACTACTAGGTAACAGAGAGCATAGGGTGATAGAAACTCTGCCCATTATTTCTCGCCGGCGCCTGGGATCGAACCCAGGATCACAAGTCCAGCGTGCTGTCCGCTCGGCCGACCGGCTCTTCCCTATAGTCATTACATAGAGGAATTAAAAGCATTACTTTGTGGGGTAGAAACAGCCTAAGCTACTCTATCCCTTTGAGATGTATTTCTTGCTTATCTCAATAAACATACTTGAACTTGAACTTGAGGTATTAAACTCATATTTTCCCCGATCAAATGTGACGTGTTCCCAAAAAGGTTTAAAACCAGTTGTAACCTAACGATTCAATTCAGTTTCTTTCTACGAAATAAACAACAATTGCATTCTTAGCCTGACACGAGGCGGGAGATGAGAGATGTTGTTGGCGCGGTCCTCAGGTCCGCCACAGTCGACGTGGCGGACAAAAATACATTAAACATTAATACGTGTTCAACCAATCGGTGTTGGAGTCATGGAGCAATGCGGGGCATAATGTGGGTATGAAGCTCTCACTGCGGCTTGGCGCGGGTGGCTGGCTAGTGGCTGGCTGGCTTGTGGCTAGTGGCTGGCTGGCTTGTGGCTGGCTGGCTGGCTGGCTAGCTACTTGGCTAGTGACTGGCTGGCTGGCTAGCTACTTGGCTAGTGACTGCCTGGCTGGCTAGCTACTTGGCTAGTGACTGGCTGGCTGGCTAGCTACTTGGCTAGTAACTGGCTGGCTGGCTGGCTGGCTGGCTAGTGGCTGGCTGGCTAGTGGCTGGCTACTAGCTGGCTACCTGGCTGGCTGGCTGGCTGGCTAGTGGCTGGCTACCTGGCTGGCTGGCTGGCTGGCTGGCTAGTGGCTGGCTACTAGCTGGCTACCTGGCTGGCTGGCTGGCTAATGGCTGGCTACTTGGCTAGTGGCTGGCTGGCTGGCTGGCTAGTGGCTGGCTACTTGGCTAGTGGTTGGCTGGCTAGTGACTGGCTGGCTAGTGGCTGACTGGCTGAGGGTCTGCTAGTCTAGCTAGTCTGAATAATCGACCCTTATTGTTCAACAAATATACACATATTTGAATGTTTACAAGCGTGCATGTGTGTGTGTTCGCCCGCGCGTGCGTGTGAGAGTGAGTGAGTGTGTGTGTGTGTGTTCAATAACTCGATCAGTTTCTCTGTCACTCACATATGCCTTCAAGTCCTTCACTCACTCCCTCTATCCCTCCCTTACCAAGACGGTAATTTTCATGTTCCTCTTTTTGTCAAGAGGTTATAGAGTGCTGGAACCGGCGAGGACCCGGCACCGGGTCTCTATGACTCGTTGCGATCACGCTGCGGCTCTATGGGATATATGGTAGCTCTAGG